ACGTAGATGAAGGCAATTAAGACGCATACACGCCACACCTAGCTGATCGAATAGGGCCGGCGCAAAGGTTTCGCTCGCCTGGTCGAGCGCGTCAAGCCAGCTCATCGCTGCCAAACAATTGTGAATCCCGCGATCGATCTATCAATCAATCAAGCAAACAGGAAATGTCCGAACGCCGACTTCAACTCTCCCCAAAGTTGGGTGGTGGCTTCAGACTGGCACCCGTGGCATCCATGCCCGCGCCTACTAGAAAGGACAAGAGCAGCAACGGTAGCAGCGGCACAGCAGGTACCACCGACTCTGCATCTTATCGCACACCCTTCACATCCACATCTCCCACCACTTGCGCGCCTCCCGTGCACGCTCCCATCCCCTCGGGCGACCAACTCCTTTCCGCCCAAGACACTACCACGTCTCCTGTTGGACCTCATTTGACAAGCACGACATCAGAGACGGGCCAGGACAAGCTATCACAAGCTGACCCGGATCATGCCTCATTTCCAGGAGCTTGGAGTATGAACCCTTCGACCGAGACCAATTTGCCCATCACTCCTCGGCGGGTGGGCAGCTTGCCAAGCTCCGATTCGGACCCAGTAGCAGAGCCCATCCGTCTTGATTCAGCCGCATCTTCTGAGCCCCATACCTCAATGATGCAGTCAGCACCGAAAGCCACTCGAGGAGCAAAGCCTGATCGGCTCGAAGGTCTGTCCACCGCGGGCTCCGACACGTTGACCAGCCGAGCAGAGGGTGATACGGAGTACGAAGACGCGCTTGGAAGCAGCTTGACGGCCATCGTTGGTGCTTATGGTGGCTTTGGGACAGCTTTGGACACTGGGAATCAGGCGCTCTCGTCGGCTGAGAAAGCTCACTCCGCCAGAGTCAGACAGGAATCTGCTCCTGCTGGTGCGACTACATACCGCTTTTCGCCAGAAGACGATGCTGAAGATGGGTCTAGCATTAGCGGGAACGTTAGTGGAGCAAGAAGCCAAAGTCGGTACAGCACTGGTGTGCTGCTCAGCTCTGTGCCTACATCTTCGGGTAGCAGCCAAGGCCAAACACTCGATGCTGGCGCGTCGCAAACCACACCCGCCTCCGCTCCAGCACACGTGTCGAGGGGCAGAGATCCGGAACAAATCGATCTGAGCCTGGACCGATCTACCTTTGCGTCTGCGACGTCATTCGCCAACGCTCCCCTTTCTGCTGCTACAGACGAGGGCAACGAGAATTTCCAAGTGGCACCGGAACAACCTGCAGTTCCTGCTCGTGCTAGTAGTACTCACGACAAGCGTCGTTCGCGCCTTCCCGAAGATACCCCGACATCGGCTTTGAATGTGCCAGACGAAAGTCGACCAGACGCTTTGACGACACCGATCTTGGGATTGGAAAGCAGCAAGAGCAGCCTGAGCGATTATGGGTCCGGTGCCGAGGGAGAGTACGAGCTGGATGCGGCCGGACAGTCAAAGAGGATGAGCATGCTGCGAGGTGAGTACTGGAGAGACAAGTCTCCGAATGAATTAGTCAAATGCGGCAAGAAGCTTAATACAAGCATTGTGCGGCCTCTACAGCTGTGAACGCCCTCGAGGCTATGTCTACGCCAGAAGGTGCTCAAGCCGGCGTGTCTGCGGTTGCTCGGGAAAGACAGGCTTCGATACCGACTGGCGCTGATGAAATCGAAGCCTCGCGAAAGCGTCAGGTCAATGCGAGTCCCACTCGACCGGCAGCACGCTCACCAATTTCGATCAAGAGCGCTGCAGCGTTCAGCAAGGGCCCAGAGAGCGCAACACCTCGAGCCAAGGTGGCTGGTGGCCTACCAGGGCCAGGGCAGGCGAGATCGGATGCCGCAGCGAAGGACGGACGCGATGACGATAGCCGGATCGACGATGCAGAAATGGAGGCCTCGAGAGCGGCGGAAGCCGAGGCGGAGGCGGACAATGATCCTTCTAGACCTCGCACTCTGAAAGAGGCCAGAGCCTTGGCGAAGGAGAGGGCTAGGCTTCGCAGGCTCGCTTCAGAAGGCGGTGCAGCAGCGGAGAGCAGCACTCTGGCCAAGGAGTCAGATTCCGTCTCGCCCAGTGCTACTCAAGTTTCCCTTTCCCGAGCTCCAGCTGTGGTGTCTCCCCTCTCACACTCGAGCTCTGTAAGGCACAGCATCGATCGACCGCGACGAGATCCTAAACGCACAAGCGATGCCAGGGGTGCGGTAGTCAGTCCCTCCGATTCTGGTCGGATCGCTGCCACTTCACCCACTGACTCTCTCCCTCAGGCCGACGTGCCTGCATCTGAGCGTCCAGGGAGGTCGAGTTTCGCAAGCGAGCGGAGTGCCAGCGAATACAGCACCAGCGACGCTGGAATGGCGCACGATGATTCCAAGATCGTTGAGAGCCCTAGCGGTGGTACAGGCGCGGATGAGGATGAAGCTACAAGAGACGCAACGCTGTGGCGAAGGCATAGCCGACAGCTCGCGCAAGGAGTCGAAACGCGAGGTGCACAAGAGATACCGGGGCAAAGGTCAAGCGCGTTGAGCCCTGAGGATGCAGCCGCGGCTGGTTCATTTGACTCCAGCTATGATGTCGCTTCGGACACGGGTGCTGACGTTCACGGCTCCTTGCCCAGCCACAGTCACGCTCACTCTCCTGATGCCGAAGCTCTACCAACCCGACCTGGTCCAGGTCGCCCTTCCTTGAGCGCATCCAACAGTGGCAGCATCTTTGGTCATGTTGACACCGACTCCATGGGCAGCCACTCGTACCCGAGTGTGCAAACAAACACGCGACGCTTTGGACACGTCTCTCCCTCCATGGGTGCAGCTGCTGATGGCAAGCTGCCCCCTGTTCCCCGCGACGGCGACACCAGCACAGATTCATCTAGAGCACAGACCACCGACACCTTGAAGGAGTTGCAGGATGTTGTGACCGAGGCTTTGGAGGATCTGAGCTTTGGAAGTAGTACGGCCACGAACGACACAGCCCAGCCGCGCGCCGCAACCAACAGAAGCAACAATGATCTCGGATTGATCACTCCGCGCGAATCGCATTTTCAGCTTGCGGACAAAGCCGCCTTGTCAGCTGCTGACAGCGCTACAGCGCCCCACAGCGAAGGCGCCTGGGCTGCTGGTTCGATGTCGAGCGGAGCGCAGGGCATGGCGAGGGCGCAGAGCACCGCCTCGGACGCAGTTTCCGAAGATCAATCCAACGTCTCCTTCAGCTCAGCTGTGGAAAATCCGGCTCATGCCACAGCCCCGATGCATCCTTTAGCGCGCGGCAGCTCGTCCACAAGCCCCACTGCAGATGAAAGTCTCGCCCGGGCGTCAACTGTCACTTCTTTGACTTCGACCGCAACGTCTCGCGTGCCTGTTCCTGCCACTGTCAGGCGAGCTCAGACGCACATTCAAGCAGCTCAGCGCGTAGCTGCCAACCCGGCGGCGATCCGTCTGCCAGTGTATGGCAGGACGACCGCTTGGCCCGTCTCCTTCGACCCCTCGCCCATCATCGAGAAGCGCAAGCTGGCACCTTGGGAACGAGCTCGAGCCTATGCGCAGTACGCCAATGATTTGGCAAGCATTGATTCTGGACTCTACGTTTGGCTCTCAGTCGTGCAAAGACCTGCTCAAGCCCAAATTCAATCGCAGCAAAGAGGCATAAAGCCTGGTTCTCAACACAAGGGGCTTGGCTTCGCAACCACCCAGCCAGCTACATCTTCCAAATTGAGAGGAGACGGCCCTGTCAGCGGTCGGGCGTCGGGCCCAGGTCATGCCCGTGAGACCACTGGAGACTCGGCTTACGCTGCCAGTATCCGCAGCGAAGCGACGTTCCCGATCCGAGGAGATGGAGGTCGCGCGAAGGAGATTGTGCAGGCGACTCCGAGCATGGGGAACATCCCAGAGAGCCCACCTGGCTCTGTTCCGTCCAACATTCCTTATCCCACCCTTCTACCCCAATCAGGAACGCGTGCGGACCGAGATGCTTTCGATGCGAATCAACCCTTGCCTACTCCGAATTCGTCTGGAAGCTTCTTCTCGAGCGCAAATGCCGCTGGCTGGCCCGCTTTCATTGATCGTGTACGGGGCTCTTCTACCAGCACCGTTTCCGATGATTCTCCATCTTCTACCAGAGTCGTCAATATGCGAGGCGACAGGGAGCGTGAGAGGACCCTCAGCTCTGCGGGAGCGGATGCTCCAGCATCGAAAGGGTCTTGGAGCCGTGGCGGAGGAGGTTCTAGTAATCCCTCCGGCACTACTGGGTCCAATGTGCCGAGTGGGGGCAAATTCTTTGGCGGTCTGAGCCGCAAGGGTTCTAGAAGAGGTGTTGGGCCAGCTTCAGGCTTGAGCGTTACGCCCATGAACCCAAGCGCTAGCGCACAGCCATCCCCGCCAAGTACTGGTTCTTCCAGGGCCGGCGATGCTACTCCATCATCCGCTGGTCCCCGTGGCCCTCGGGGTGTCGGACAAGGCCAGTCCTCCGCACCCCGCTCGACTCTTAGTCTCGACGTGACATCCGCGAAGGCCGACACTGGCATCGCCCTCATTCAAAGCCCGGCTGTAGCTGCCGATCCGAGCCCACCACCGCCTCCCGGTGCTGTTGCTGCTGCTCAGATCCAGGGCAAGCTTGGCGAGTCACTTCCCGACATAGACACTCGGGGTGCTGTACCGTCCATCAGCAATTCCAGATCGCCAGCTAGCGCAAGAGGCCCCATGGGTCCTCGTCCACCCATCTCGGCTGGCAGCGTCGGCGGCGACTCGTTCAAGACCGCCGCAAGCGGGTCGCCTGTAGCCACCTCTACTGCTCGACGGCCTTCACAAGGTCAAGGGTCAGCACCGAACCGACAGAACATCTCTGGATCGTCTGGCCTAGGGGGTGGAGAGAGCAAGGGTCTGTACTACGGCCTCAGCTCGACCGGTGGCATTTACGGCGTGCCCAAGCGCCAAGAAGAGGCAAGTGGCCGCAGGGGCTCAGATGCGCCGCCGTCGCCGACAGAGTTGCCAGCAGAAAAGTCGACACCTTCCAGCCCAGGTAGAGCTCCAACAGGTCCTGTGAAGAGCTCATTCTCGTACGGATCCGTCAGGGAACGAAGCCCAAACATTGGTTCCGGCACGACCTCCAGCAAGCTTGCGCCGCCAGCTAGCATTCCGACTGGCGGAAGCAGCGCTGGCTCTAGCCCAAGCGGCGGCTCCACTGGGAGCTTCTCGTTCCGCAAAGGTAGCTTCAGCAGTCAGCTTTCGGGCTCTGGTTCCAAGGACAGCGCAGCGAGAGAAGAAGCTTTTGAAGAAGCTCTCAACAAGCTCGAAGATGTTCTTCCCGATGCTGATCGCACTACTCTGGCCAAGTACCTTAAAAAGTCCGGCGGTGATGATTTGAAAGCCATTGGCGATTACTTGCAGGATCAAGCGAGGGGTAAATTGCCGCAGCCCACCAGGAGTCCCACGGGCAATCTTGGCAGCGCTCGACGTTGAAAGCGGACCTCGAGTCTCGAGCAGAGGTGCCTGCAAGGGTTGCGCTGCATGTTCGCAGAGTCGCACTTTGATATCACGGATCCGTACAATTTCTCTTCGACCCTTCGTTTCGCTGATTTGTTTTCGCTGGGTGCTATGCACCTCAACTTATGCTGACACTTATTGCTTCATCTATACCGAATGCATGTCTGAATCCCGGGGACGTGATTAACTGACTCAGACTCATCATGCTCGCGCTTGGTCTTCGCTCACATTGACTGGCGGTACGATCCAGTCAGAATCAGGCAACTCACTTAATTGCGCTGGAAAATGGGAGCGCGTCACGTAGGAAGCATGCACACAGCTATCACGAAGCGATGGATTGTAGATGTGCTTGATCGAGCAGAAGCAGCCAAATGTGGGATGAACGAGGATTCATGTGGATGAAGCGCATGCGAAAAGGACTGAAGTGATGCAGGAAAGCTGAGAATACTGGATAGACATTGAAGTGAAGAAGGATGAGCGCCAGTTGGGAGATATGAAGCATTGACACTGTCTGAAAGCATGAAGAAGCGTCGCGGAGGGTGTGGCAGCGGGCAGAGGCGCGCGCAGGCAGGCGTCCCGAGTAAGGCGCAATGCTCCAGAGCGACTAGGGAGAAGGAGGGTTTGAGGATAGCTTGTCGGAGGGGGCTCACCATGCAAAGTCAGGGGAAACTTTAATGTGCTTGAGATGTCAGAGGATGAGAGTGGATGCGATGGTAGGAAATTGAGGCTGTCGCAAAGTTGGAAAACAATCTGTGCGCTTGCTGTGAGACCAAGTGCTGATGGAAGACGGCTCGGAAGGACCAAGTATCTGAGGGCCAGCAGCCCTTTCATGACTACTCAAAGTTTGCTCCTGGTCCACTGCGCTCGAGTTCATCGCGCATCTCGCGGACTCGCTTTTGTAGGTCAGCGATCGCCTTGTTGCGGGTCGCCGGCTCAGGATTCGAATCCCTACTCTTGTCTAAGCCAGCACGATCGTGGCCTGCCGTAGAGGAGCTCGAAGACTCGTTGTGAGTGAAGAGCTCAGAGAGGCTCTCAGCGGAAATGTGTAGCGAGCCGCGTGGAGGCAAGTTGCCTCGCACGTGTCGTAGGCGTTGCGGACCGCCTTGAGTCTCGTCAAGCCCGGCCTGTCCTCCGTTGCCAGGAGGGGCGGCAAATGCAGACATTGTGCGACTATGGCCTCGACCACTCGGCTCTTTCTGATCCAAGAATTGCCGAAGCTTTTCCAGAGCAGAGCTGACCTCGTCCAGCTTTGCTGTGCCCGTACGGCCTTGCCTACGTCTGCTACTGGCGATGGAGCCGCTTGCAGAGGTCGGGGTCGGGATGAGCCCGCTGCTCTGCGTGCCAAGCAAAGGACTCGGGTTGCTGTGAGCATCGCCGTGGCGAAGAGCATCAGACGAAATCGCCTTATCCATGCCTCGGTGTCGTGGCGAAATGACGAGCGATGGTGATACTACTCGACGACTGACTGATGTCTGTGACATGCGTCTTTCTTGTGCGGCGGCAGCAAGCGGTGGGAGACCTTCCGTCGAGTGGCGTGTCATCGATCGCGAATAGCTTGTGGAAGGTGGCCTCCTTAGAGATGCACTGCTCGCCGTCGTGTTGACGGCTCTCTCATTGGTAGGGCTTTTGTTGCGACTACTTTTCGTTCGCAACGATGCTCCGCTCTGTGAGGTGTGCACAAAAGTCGGGACGGTGGGCGACACAGCGTTTCGATCTGGCATGTGATGGCTCGTAGCCATGGTTGGGTCGGATTGCTGAGAGGGCTCGAGGGCCATGGCGAAGCTGTTGTAGGGTGCAGGTAGTGACGTCTTGGGCCAAGTTTGTGACCAGTCGTCTGGCTTACTTTGATCCGTCATCGCGCTTTCTGATAACAGCTGCCCAAACTCGCCGATAGACGTCATCGCCGACTGTTCGTGAGGGCCTCTCAGCTGCTCCAGCTCCCGAGCATGGGGTTGCGAGAAGTACTGTGAAGGGTGTGGTGCTCGTTGGAGGTGATGAGAGAAATCGGCACTCTGTTCTTGAGAACCGTGCTCAGGTCGAACTCGCGACGCGCTATCTGGAGAGAGACCGTGGAGCTGTAGATTGGTGCTGAATGCGGGTGACGATGCTGGCGTATCGCGGCCGTGCACCCACCGGCGCTGGTGATCGTCTCTCAAGGAAGCCAAAGAGTCCTCAATGCCTGATGAGTCGAATGATGAAGCGTTGGTCAAGACGCTGTCCTGTCCTGGGCCATCGTCCCAGCTTTGACCCGAGGCCTTCTGCAAGCGTTGCTGTGCTTGATTGTGGGCATTAAGGGGTAGATTCATCGCTGCGACGGGGTCCATCGACATCTCTTCGCTTTCCTGGGTTAGATCACTACCCATGAGACCCAGGCCGCGATATGACCCCTCTTGGCCACAATCCGGCGGCACCTGCTCGAGCTGATCGCGCTGCAGTTGGAGAGAAGCAAATTCCGAAGAGAGAGAAGGGCTCAAGACGCGCAGCACCTCTGCAGGCACGTTCCAGGAATGGCTCTTAGCATCGTAGACTGCTCCAAGATCCTTCAAAGTCTGAGTGGACGACGGCTGTCTTCGGTCGGATGAGAGGAGTCGATGCCCAGTCTCTTGACCTAGTGGACTATCGTCGCTCGAAAAAGACGCCACCTGCGCGTCTTGCAGCGGCTGAGATGAAGCAGGTCGTGGTAAGGACGATTGTGCCTGAAGCTGCGAGTTATGAGTTTCATGAAGCTGGTCCCCTGGACCAGCAACCGTACCTGCGCGACGCCTTGCGGGCTGACGGCTGGTTGTGGGAGACACTAGCAATCCAGAGAGCATGTTGGGTCCAGAAGCTGTGCGCTTTGCTGTCATCCTCCTTTTGAGTGGAGACTGTGAGCGACTCAGGTGCTTGACTATGGCGTGGTGATCCGCTGAATGCTGTTGCGCAGGTGCTATGGGGCTCTGCGAGAACGAGTCACCAGACATCATCGAAGCTGAAGAAGAGTAGAGGTCCTCGTCGACGTCCATGGACCCATCCACGCCCCGATGATGCAACCAAGATTCTCCAGATCCGATTTGTGGTCTGGAGAGATGTCCACCAAAGGTGTCGCCCTCGGAAGAAGGGATGGAAGGGTGATCCACTTCAGCGCTGCCGAGAGGCTGCCAGGCTGTCAAGTCATTTGGCTGCGGCCCAAGGGGCCGAAAAATGTAGTCGATCAGCCGAGGCGGTCTACAGGAAGGACACATGTCCCACTATCTTACTCACAGCCCAGGTGGTGGAAATCTCTTTCAAGAACTGGTCGAAATCGACGTGAGAATCGAACTGAGTTTCAGTCGTCATGCCAGCAGTCGGTTGGTGGAATGCTTGGGTGTCGTAAGTATTCGTCGATTCGTAATCGTTACGGCCAATGTCATGACGACTCGAGGGCTCTGGCGCTCCTCGCATGGGCTGCCAAGGCGATTGAAGGGTCTCTCTCGCCTTGCCTTGTGAAGTCGCGGATGGGGCCGCCGTCGTTGCAGATCGTAAGGGCGTTACACTGACCAAATCATGCGCTGGCACCGAGCGTGAAGAGGAGGGGATCGAAAGGGCGTTGCTGAGGGTGGAGGAGGAGGCTGGGGCCGTCAACCTCGTAGCCCCTTGATATTGGTCCTCGCCAGCGTACTGGTACGCCTGCTGCGTCTGCTGTGAGCTCGATGCCGAAGCCGGTGATGTGCCGACGGGCTGCCAAGGCTGCCCGGACTCTTTCCGCTGCAGCTGTTCAGCCTGGTCTCGTCGCATCGCCTGAAGACTTGACAGGAACACATTTTGACTTTTCATCGTGTCTGCTCTCAAGCTAGGGCAAAGGTATAGCGGAGGCGCCCGGCGCCACAAGGGCGACTTTCCTCGATCGCGACTGTAATTCCTGCGCCCTGGTCGTCCCGCTCACGTTTTGATCCGCCCTCAAGCCCAAAGCTAGCCTACACAGCCCGCAGGCTTACAACAGCTTCTGATGTATGTGGATGCTGCTGGAAATTGGCGAGCGCAAGTGATGCAGCTGGCCCGCTGCGTGTCTCGCTCCAGGCGGGTCGCGGCGCAGTTGAGACTGGCAGGTGTGCTCTTCCAAGAAAGAAGCAAGTAGTGCAGCAGATATTGAGTCGAGTCAATTAAGTGGCCGGAGACTGCTATCGGTCCATGTAAGCTCCCGTGCGCGGGATGGAGTGGCACAGCAGCAGCACTTGCAGCGCTCTTCCAGCAACCGATGCACTTGGCGGTCGATTTACCCGATTCAAGTGGAACAGATTGCTACACAACGACAATCACTCGCTACTGATAGCTGTGACCATTTAGCGTAGACTGCTGCCGTGAACGTGTGTGGGAGCTGGGGGCGGGCAGTTGATGCTACCAGCTGCGCATTGGCTGAACGATGGGGTGTCAGTCAGGATACGAAGAAAGTTCATGAGTCAGCGCTGCTGCTACATAGCTGGTCTTGCCTATAGCTGCATGTCACTACCATATACTCAGCCCATGACTGCAGAAGCATCATGCAGCAGCATTATTAATAGTCTGAATATGGTCAAAAGCCCTCCCCTCATTCGAGCATGGAGAAATGCACGTTGCTGCTGGCAATGCTAAATGCCTACGCAGATAATGCTGAGCTCGACCCCGATGATAATTCGTACCCTTCCTCGAGCATGTGATGCCTGTTGCTGTACAGCATGCGACCGGCAGCCTCATTCGACTTGGGAGAACCCGTCAAGTATCGTGTGTATCGCGGACGCTTTGTGCAGACAAGCGAGACATGAACGAATGACCCCTTTACCATCTTTTCCCCCGTCACCTTTCACTTCTGATGCCACCCCGCCATTGGCCTAGCTTGCACCGGCGCGTGTAGCGCCGGGCCATCCCGCTCGAGCCGCCGTGTCTCAACCGTGCCATATGGTCTCGCATCCGTTGGCTCCGATGCACCGCCATGCGATCATCTTCTGTGGAGGCTAGCAGGTGATCCGAAGCAAGGCCACCCAGACCTCGAATAACTCACCAGCTTTCTTGTACACTACCAGTCGCGGGTGCAAGTCTCGAGCTCGCAGCTGCAGAAAGCCGCGTGAGCTGAAACTGACGTGCTGTCTGCACTCAATCTGCTTCAGCTAGGCTGCTTCAACTTTCAATGGTCGACGCCTGTCGACCTGCGCGGCAATGCAGACGATAGCTTCGGCGTTCAAGGATGTGCTGGCTGCGCCAAGCGACCAATGGTGCGGGGCGGCGAGAGAGCGCAAAGTCGGGCTTGGGCGAGACGAGGCGCTTTCGTGATGCGTCGTGCTTGGTGAGTTGCGAGTCGTGAATGGTATCTTAAACCACGAATGAACTAGGCGAATCGGGGAGCGGCCGGTCGTAGAACCCTGTGATCAACCGACACCGCGAGACGGGATACAGGCTTGATGTCAGCCAGGCTCGTGAGAGATGATTGATCTCCGCTTCTGTGCCAGCGTAGACTGAAGAGTCTGTCTGCACCGACCTTGAGCGTGCACTTATTCAAGCAGCGAGCCCGTACAGTGTGTGGCTCCGATTCGTCACGTTGAGCCGATGGCGTGGCGGGCAAACGTGACCAAAATCAGTCTACCTAGAGCGACTGCCGGGTGTGCCGAGATACAGATTGCTTCAGCCTAGCTTCGTGAAAGGGCGCTGACCAAGGGACGACAGCGGCGATGAGGTGCTGGGTTTTAGTCACGAGTGTGTCAGTGGGTGTTGATCGAGATGGATCCTGCACGAGTCGAGTCTAGATATGATCGCGCTGTATAGATAGGCGTGCAAGACACAAGCGAAACGTGCCCAAGGAAAGTCCAGATGAGTGCTGCCCTGTCAGGAGGACAAATGACGTATCAGGCAGCTGGCAAAGTCGTGCTTGTCGTGAGGACTCACACTCCCAATTGTGTTTATGTCGTCGAGCGGAGTGCTTCACGGACAGCTACACAGTGAGACCTATATCTTCGCTTAGCGCTCAAAGTCGTGGTAGCAGCACATGCTGCGAAGGGCAGATGCTGTCGCGAGGGCAAAGACGAGCAGCTGCTTGACATATGATGCGCGCTCGCCGCTTCCGCAAATGCAAGTCTGAGACCCGCTAACGGCAAGAATAATCACGAAATAACAAATGCCCGCGTGTTGCTCTCCACGCAGCTCGGTGAAACGTGCCGGATACTGCTGGGAGGGGGCCTCTCAAATTTGCACACTTGCACAGCGTGCAGCAAGAGCAACAGCGGGCGGCCAGTCGGCGGACTGCGAGGCCGTCAGTCGACTCGCGGACTCAAGCACGAGTCGTGATTTCAGCAGATGTTGCGATGCTGCTGCACATCACGATGATGATGTCGTTTCTGCGAGTCAATCTCCGTCCGTGGCCGGGCCACAGACCTTGCATTCACGATTTCGCTACTGGACAGCGTGAACAGACCACGGTCACCCGTATGCATCCATTAAAGCATCATCGGATGGCTTGAATACGCGGATAGTGGCGCACGGGACCAACTTCAGCACGCGGGGCACCTAGTCAACAGAAACACCTAGCAGCGGGTCGTGGAAGCATTGGGGATCCTTGGTCTACGTGTATCAGCAGATCAGCAGAGAGGAAGACCGGAGTCCAGGGTCACTCGCGACTTACGCCCACGACCTACCCATTCACGATTTCACGAAGGGCGGTGCGTGGATTCCTTATTTGCAGCAAAGACACG